CTTAGAGGAAAAAAGTAATGTAGTCAGCTATTTTTTAAGCCATGGCATTTAATAAATTGACTGCAAACAATCAGTCACTGGATGGAGAATACAAAAAGGACAATAAATCTTCTACCAAACTTTTTGTAATCATGACTTCCATGTCAAGCATCCTCCTTCCCGTAGCTATACTACTTTCCCTACATGTCCCTGCTTTCAAGGTAGAATTACTTTTAAAAAAAAGATCACAGTACAAACAGCTTTGCAAACTCTTAAAGAATACTGTTGTTATGACAAAATACAGAAACTTTCTGAATTGCGAGGCAAGACTAACAAATACAGTACTTTACTGACTGGGTAGAAAAATTATTTAAACGCACACATTGAAATATTTCTGTAGACAAGTACTGTCAAATCTTCTATCATTTGGCCAGCTGAACAATGCATGGAACATAGTAAACTGTTAATATCCATATAGCCATTTTCTAATGTTTTAACTTTGTATGTTGCTGTCAGACATTTTCAAAATATCAAAGAACGCCTTCGTATGCAAGTTGGATGACACAGGAACAAATTAGGAACCTGGGGATTCAGAGGCACTAAGTGAAGCTGCACATGGATCACTGGCCTGGATTCATGATTCAGGACGGCTGCTCTCTATTGAGAATAGAAAACTTGATGGTTTCCCCTCCCTGCCATCAATGTAAATTTTAGCCATAGTTAAGTTTTCCTACATGTTGCCAAACTGATCTGGTTTAGGGATCTTCCCATGAAAGTAGACCTGCTTAGCTGGGTCTCAAGACTGAATGACCATGATTTCTCTTCCAACAAAGGCTACGTTCAGCAAAGGACATGAGGGATCCTCTCACTTCTGCAGGAGTCTATCGTGTACCATGCAGCTGTGGACAAGTCTACATAGGGACCACCAAACGCAGTGTTGCCCAAACACGAATCAAGGAACATGAAAGACACTGCAGACTACGTCAACCAGAGAAGTCAGCCATAGCAGAGCACCTGATGAACCAACCTGGACACAACATATTATTTGAGAACACAGAAATGCTGGACCACTCTCACAACCACCATGTCAGACTACACAGAGAAGCCATTGAAATCCACAAGCATGTGGACAATTTCAACAGAAAGGAGGAAACCATGAAAATGAACAAAATCTGGCTACCAGTATTAAAAAAACTCTAAAATTACAACAGCAAAACAACAGAGAGGAAACAAACAAGGACATCTAATCAACTCTCAACAAAAGATTGCCCCAGGCACTGCCAAGCCATCAAATGCTAATCAAGGTGGTCAGTTGAAGCATTCACACCTAGCTCCGGCAGACAAGAGTCCTTTGTCCCACCCTGGTCATTCCACAGATATATAAACTCTTTTTCCTAGTTCCAACCGACCTCACTACCTCTGAGGATGCTTGCCATAGATGGAGGCAAAAGGTCAGGAGAGAATGCCTCTAGAACATGGCCACCTACAACAACCCAGTGATTCCGGCCATGAAAGCCTTCGACAATACATTTCTCTTCCTGTTTACTCATGTCTCATGCTAATTCTGTCTGCCTACAATCGATCTTCCGTATCTGTGGGTGTAATATGTTCCCAAGTTTAGCTCCAATTCAATGATCAATGTATCCTGGCCAATGACCATATTTTTGCTAGAGGACCTAGATATTCTTATAAAATACCTCTGGGAATCTCTTTAAGTCTTTTAGCATAACACATTTTTTCTTCTTTCATAGGGGTTCTATGCCCTTAACCCCCACAAAGTACAGGCCTGCTGTACATTCATTTACTGGGCTCTGACTTTCCATTCCACACTTAACATTTCAAAGGTATGCATTGTTTTCTCTAAAAGGTGTATAAAACTTTGCCTTGTTTAGTCACCTCTTGAAAGAGCTGAGTTCAAGATGCCTTCGTTGTTGGGTACATATGGGTAGGGTATCCGCCTGGCTGTCCAACCCTTCTTCTTGAGATATATGTGTTGACTGAGAAGAGTTTTGGGAGGAGATATGAGTCGAGTCACTGTCACTAAACAGACTAGGTGAGTCTGGCTCGGTTAGTTCTGTAGGTGGCAGATCACTGTCCTCATGTTCGGAAGTATCTGTATCTTCCTTGTTATGCCGAAAAAAGTTCTCCCATTTGGGCATTTCCAAATTACCCAGCTGTACATCTTCATTTTGCTTGGAACTTGGTTCTGAATGGGCCAGTCCAACTTTGGGCACTCCTCCTTTGGGCACCCAAAACATCTCTCTCTCAGACTTCTCCTCGTCATCATTGGGTTCTTCACACTTCACAAAATTTACTTTCACAGAATTAGGCATGGAAGACACCTTATACCTGTCTTCGTGGTTTTGCACAAGAGGTTTGTTGTCTGGCAACAGTTTAGGAAGCTTGGATCTGATACAAATTCGTTCTGTATTGAAGAGATCACCACCATCACAACCTGTGAAGACAAGAGGAGTCGTCAAGAAGACGTGAAGCCACTCAAGTCTGCCTATGCCTCAGAACCGTGTCTATTATCTGGGACTGAACCAAAGCAAACATGGTATATATGAAATTACATGCTGTCTTGCAAATAAAGTTTGTCGATGGCAAAACAAAGTCACTCTACGGACAACTGAGTAAAAGAGACTGTATATTGTTTTTGTTACAAGTCTGCATATCACCGTTGAATGAAGAGGACTCACCAAAGATATTGTTTTATGTTTTTGGTGAGAGCAATTCTTCTCTTTTGTTTTGTATGCAGTGAATACAACTTTATTTCTGTTCTATTTAAAGTGAAAGACTCGTGTGTTTTCTTTTATGAGTTACTTTATCACACTTGGACCATGCTCTGACCTACAAGAAGCACTGCCTGAACATCAAACAAAAAGTGGGCGCTAGAAACAACATCATACGAAAGCTGACTGGCACAACCTGGGGATCACAACCAGACACAGTGAAGACATCTGCCCTTGCGCTATGCTACTCTGCTGCTGAGTACGCATGCCCAGTGTGGAACACATCTCACCACACTAAAACAGTAGATGTGGCTCTTAATGAGACATGCCGCATTATCACAGGATGTCTGCGCCCTACACCACTGGAGAAATTACACTGCTTAGCCGGTATTGCACCACCTGACATCCGCCGGGAAGTAGCAGCCAATAGTGAAAGGACCAAGGCAGAGACATCTCCAGCTCATCCCCTGTTTGGGTATCAGCCAGCACGTCAACGACTTAAATCAAGAAATAGTTTTCTAAGATCTACAGAGACACTTGCTGGAACACCCCAGCAAGCGAGAGTCCAAAAGTGGCAGGCTCAAACCCAGAACCTCAATCAATGGCTGATACCAGATGAGAGACTCCCCCTGGCACACAGAAGACTGGGCGACTTGGAAGGCGCTGAACAGACTGCGCTCTGGCACCACGAGATGCAGAGCCAATCTTAAGAAATGGGGCTACAGGGTGGAATCCTCAGCATGCGAGTGCGGAGAAGAACAAACCACTGACCACCTGCTGCAATGCACCCTGAGCCCTGCCACATGCACAATGGAGGACCTTCTTGCGGCAAACCCAGAGGCACTCCAAGTGGCCAGATACTGGTCAAAGGACATTTAACCAAATACCAAATTTGCAAAATCTGTGCTTTTTTCCTTTTTCTTTTAATCTGTGTGTTTGTTTTGCTCTGTTAGAATTGTAATACAATGGTTGCTGATGACACGATAAATAAAATAAAAAAAATAATCACACTTAAGAGTTACAAGGGCTAGAGTCAGTCTGCGGGCCGCTCACACTAAAGCTTCTAACTATTTGTCAATTAACAAAATCACCCCTCTTTAGCCCCATTTTTCAGTTAATAAAAACACCCCAGGAGTTATCCCTTCTCCCTCTTTGGGCTAATTCTCTCACAACAACAGCCTGGCACCTTCTGGTTGTTATCCACTCTCAGCAACTGGCATACCCTCACCATCTTCAATATAATAGTACTAGCTGTCCCCTGCCACGCGTTGCTGTGGCCCAGTCTGTTGATATGGAAAATAAAGTAATGAGAAAATGTTGGTTTCTTCAGGGGCCCCTTTCAAATCTATGATACTATATTTGTGTGTGTGAATCATATCTATCTATATCTATGGCTGGATGGCTCTTTGTCAGGAGGGCTTTGATTACGTTTTCTTGCCCTGATGAAGGGAGTTGGACTGGATGGCCTTGAGTATTTTCTGTTGGTCATGGGGGTTCTGTGTGGGAAATTTGCCCCAATTCTGTCGTTGGTGGGGTTCAGAATGCTCTTTGATTGTAGGTGAACTATAAATCCCAGTAACTACAACTCCCAAATGTCAAGGTCTATTATCCCCCAAGCTCCATCTGTGTTCCTAGTTGGGCATATGGAATATTCGTGCCAAGTTTGGTGCAGATCCATCATTGTTGAGTCCATGGTAGTCTCTGGATGTAGGTGAACTACAACTCCCAAACTCAAGGTCAATGCTTACCAAACCCTTCTAGTGTTTTCTGTTGGTCATGGGAGTCCTGTATGCCCCGGTTGGTTCAATTATATCATGCTATTTGATTGTAGGTGAACTATAAATCCCAGTAACTACAACTCCCTATCTATCTATCTATCTATCTATCTATCTATCTATCTATCTCTATCTATCTATCTATCTATCTATCTATCTATCTATCTATCTATGGCTGGATGCTTCTTTGTCAGGAGGACTTTGATGACGTTTTCTTGCCCTGTTGAACGGAGTTGGACTGGATGGCCTTAAGTATTTTCTGATGGACATGGGGGTTCAGTGTGGGAAGTTTTCCCTGATTCTGTCGTTCGTGGGGTTCAGAATGCTTTTTGATTGTAGGTGAACTGTGAATCCCAGTGACTACAACTCCCAAATATCAAGGTCTATTTCCCCCAAACTCCATCTGTGTTCATATTTGGGCGTAATGAATGCTTGTGCCAAGTTTGGTCCAGATCCATCATTGTTTGAGTCCATGGTGCTCTCTGGATGTAGGTGAACTATAATTCCCAAACTCAAGGTTAATGCCCACCAAACCCTTCCAATATTTTCTGTCGGTCATGGGAGTTCTGTGTGCCAAATTTGGTTCAGTTCCATCATTGGTGGAGTTCAGAATACTCTCATATTGTAGGTGAACTATAAATCCCAGCAACAACAACTCCCAAATGACAAAATCATCATTTTTTTTGAGTGATGGTCGCTCCTTGTGTTGTGAGACGTTTTGTTGCCAAATTTGGTGAGATTTCGTTCATTGGTTCTTTTGTTTTTAAGGTACTTATTATGCACAGAGCATTTATATATATATAGATGGTGAAAAGCATGATAAGATGTGGCATTCAGTACAAACTTACACATCGTAAATACAAACAGCTCAAGATAAAAAATTAAATAAAACAAACCACCAAGCCAATTGGGGGGCCAAGTACCAGTCACTTTCTCCTCGCAAGGGTTTATAATGGAAAAGAACTACAGATGCCACCTCAGAGTGAAGTTGCGATTAAAATGGAATCTTAAAAGATATGGGAAATTACACAGATGAGATAATGCATGATTCTCTGGTTGAAGCCACAATTTTGGCCTCCTTTGCCACCATCATCCAAAAACAGCATTTCTTTTACCTGAATCTGTTTGATCCGATGTTCTGGCTCTCTTCAGTGCCCCAAGTGGTTTATACATTGGTTTGTTCCTTTGACTGTACATTCGGCACAATGGTTTTAAACTGAAAGGAATAAGCATATTATTCATTTTGGACTTTTCGATCCAGAGACTGCTCACTCGCTGACTTTCTTCGCTCTATATCCTTATGTAAGGGCAGCCTTACATAAGCATCCAATGATGCTATCAACATATACACCAATAAAACTTACAATTAAAACAGTAAAATCCATTTAAAACATTATACAATTCAACAAATAAATTCATTTAACAGTAAATTAACGTTCCAATAAAACCAAGCCAAGCTGGAAAATCCAGTGTCACAATGTCCAAAATTTTTCTTTCCTATTGCCGCTCTACTCTAGTCAAACGCCTGGTTCCAGAGCCAGGTCTTCAGTTGTCTTCTAAAGGACAGGAGAGAGGCGGCCAGCCTGATGTCCTTAGAGAGGGAGTGCCACAGACATGGGGGCCACTGCCGAGAAGGCCGTCTCTCGTCCCCAAAAGTGGTGGGATCAAGAGCAGCGCCTCCTCTGACGATCTTAAGCTTCGTGATGGTTCATAGCAGGAGATACGTTCGGACAGGTAATCTTGGCCAGAACCGTTCAGGGCTTTAAAGGTTAAAACCAGCACTTTGAATTGTGCTCGGAAGCTGATCGGCAGCCAGTGGAGTTGGCGTAACAGAGGATTAGTATGCTCCCTGTACGCCGCTCCAGTTAACAACATGGCTGCCGACCGTTGGACTAATTGGAGCTTCCAAGAAGTTTTAAAGGCAGCCCCACGCAGAGAGTGTTGCAGTAATCTATTTGGGATATTTTGGCTGGCTATAGTAAATTTAAGGGTAGCCTGATTTTCAGGTAGTTACATTAATAGACCAAAGCAACACAACAAAAAGACACTTACATTTCTATAACTCTCTCCTCTGTTGCACTTGTTGGAATTACACTGGGACACACATTGCCAGGGCAAATATAGCTCACAAAATCCCGGATCTAGAAGGAGTAGTGGTGGAGGAAGAGGTGTTATTAACTTTCGGAATTTAAAATCTTGCAGAACTTTTCAACAGCTTTGAGAGAGAAAGAACGTTTCTTGTTTTTAAAGCCTTGAAACTAAAAAGTCACACAAAAGAGCATTAACGGTGAATCAAGGGAGTTACATCTGCCAGGAATAATAATAATAATAATAATAATTATTATTATTATTATTATTATTATTATTATTATTATTTATACTCCACCCCATTTCCTCAAAGGGGACTCGGAGCGGCTTACATGAGGCCAAGCCTGAACAACAAATTACAATACAATGAGATATAAATTGCAATAAAATAAACAATATAACATTAAAGTATAAAACATCTATATAAATAAAAATGTAATGTTCGTTTGTGATACCATCAGAACTCAAAAACCACTGGGGGAATTGACACCAAATTTGGACACAAGACACCTAACAACCCAATGTATGTCCTCCACTCAAAAAAATTGATTATGTCATTTGGGAATTGTCGTTGCTGGGATTTATAGTTTACCTACAATCAAAGAGCATTCTGAACTCCACCAATGATGAAATTGGGCCAAACTTAGCACACAGGGCTCCCATGACCAACAGAAAAAACTGGAAGGGTTTGGTGGACATTGACCTTGAGTCTGGGAATTGTAGTTCACCCACATCCAGAGAGCACTGTGGACTCAAACAATGATGGATCTGGACCAAACTTGACACAAATATTCCATATGCCCAAATATGAACACAGATGGAGTTTGGAGAAAATAGACCTTGACATTTGGGATTTGTAGTTATTGGGATTTACAGTTCACTACAATTAAAGAGCATTCTGACACCCACAAACGACAGAAATGGGGCAAACTTTGCACACAGAACCCCCATGACCAATAGAAAATACTTAAGGCCATCCAGTCCAACTCTCTTCACCAGAGAAAGAAAATGTAATCAGAGCCCTCCTGACAAAGAGCCATCCAGTCATAAATATAGATAGATAGATAGATATGATTCTCTCTCACACACACAATTATAGTATCATAGATTTGAAAGAGACCCTTAAAGGACTATGATATGTTGCATATTCCAGAGTAGGCAAACCAGACACTCTCCACATCAACACTGACAAAGAAACAACAAGAAATACTGTTTACTCACAAGCATAAAGGAATTACATATATTAGAAACCAACACTTTCTCATTACTTTATTTTCCAGATCACCAGACTGGGCCACAGCACGGGACAGCTAGTATAAGCATATAAACAATACACAAAATATTTTAAAAAACGGCTGGCTTGATTAGGCATGGCATGTCCTCTCAAAGTGATTTTAATCAGCAATTGCAATAAACTTATTTTATAGGGTTGCTTTCAAAAGTGCCAAACTAATATGTGAAAATGCAGTGGAACACATTTATTTATTTCGAGCATTTCTACCCGGCCCTTCTCAACCCCCTAGGGGGGACTCAGGGTGGCTTCCAGTCGGCACATATTCGATGCCTACAATTCACCACAGTAAAATACACAACAACAGTAATTATAAATAGTTAAAGCATTAAATTATTACAATAAAATCTCATAGAAAAAGCCAGCTTGGAGGCCATCGTTTCACCGAGTTCCATAATTTGTGAGCCATTCAGCTTATCATAGTCTGTTTCCAAAGCTCATTGTCTTCATTTTCCTTGTCAATCTGCCAGATTACCCAAAGGCCTGGTCCATATCCATGTTTTTACTTTCCTTCTAAAAGAGAGGAGGGATGACGATGATCTAATTTCCCCAGGGAGTGAGTTCCCAAGGGGGGGGGACCACCACCGAGAAGGCCCTGTCCCTCGTCCCCGCCAATCTCGTTTGTGACAAGGGCAGAGCCGAGAGCAGGGCCCCTGAAGAAGATCTTAAATTCCTAGACGGGACGTAGAAGGAGATACGTTCGGACAGGTATGCTGGACCGGAGCCGTATACATTGAATTGTATTTCAAGGGCTTATTATCATTTCTATTGTATCTTTCTTAGCCCAAAGTCTATGAGCTTAGACAGGCAAAAAATCTAATTAAGTGCCCATATAACTTGTCAGGTTTTACAATGTATTGTAATGTAATATAGCTGAGTCATGCACTGCTTATGGGCTTCTATCGGAAATGCTGAGTCATGCATTAACTGTATATAGAACTTCATTTGAGGAATGTGTTCTGGCCTAGTCCAGGTGATTGTGAATGATGTAATCCTGGGTCTGAGTTAAGTTAATGAGTTGGGAACCAATCAGAGATTGCTATGTGTAAATGAATTGTATATAAGGAAGTCATGTACAGTGTATTCTCTCTCCTTGTGCTGTGATGTTGTTCGTTGAAGGCTATATGTAATTAAAGAACCTGTCTGCTAAGACAAGATATAACTGTATGCTGTGGTAAGTTTGTAATATCATCTAGACTGGGGGAAAGACAATGGTAAAACTGACAATGGCCGGGCATGTGCTCAAGTGTCTGTAAAAGGTTCCAGCGTGACTGCAGGCTGTGGGAGCAGTTGACTGAAAATACTGTGCAGGAAGAAGCTACTGGAAAGCGCTGAAGTTGTGCAACTGATCTGCTGCTGAATTGTGAAGTTAATCTCAACATAACTACACCAACCGTTTTTGTATTATAAGGGACATTATTAGTTTAGAAAATAAACAGGAAAATACACATACCTCACTAAAAGAAGAGTGAAATGAAAAGCAAGCTCTGAATGAACTTTCTCCAGTCCTAAACAGAAACCACGAAGAAGAAAAAAGTATTATCATTTTACTATACATCATAACATCAAGTTAAGAAAAGCAGCAGTGGACAATACAAAAGAAGCTACTTTAAGGAACAGCAGAGAATTCTGCAGGATGTGAATCTTCTAAATGTACACTAGAGGAGCTCTAGCATTCACCAGAGCAGGAGTTCCCAAAGTGTGCTGCTTTGCTGTGCTGCTTTCCTCTTCTTCTTCCTCCTCCTCCTCCTCCTCTATCTCCCTGATGTAGGCTGAGGGACTTGCAGCGCATCCAATGGACAACCGCCTTAGGGCTGTCTCTCAGAGTGGATTGGTTAGCAGGAGCAAGCAGCTGTCTTTAAACAGAAAATACAAGCTTTCCGAGCTCAGAAACTGCCAGCAAAAATCACAAAAGCAGAGCTGGGATGAGGAGCCCGGGAGCCAAGCCACTCAGTGAGGCAGTGAATGTGTTTGAAAGGCAAAAGAGAGAGAAAAAGAGAGGATGGCAGGAGTCTGTCTGCTTCATGACAATGCACGTCCACACACCACGCATGCAACACAAGAGTTGTTGACTCCCTTTGGTTGGGATTTTTTAAGCCAACCCTCTCACAGTCCTGATCTCACATCCAGTGACTATCATCTATTCACTGAAGGAACACCTACCGTATATTCTGGTGTATAAGACTACTTTTTAACCCAATAAAATCTTCTCAAAAGTCAGGGGTCGTCTTATATGCGGGAGTCATCTTATACACCGGGAGTCGTCTTATAGAGTGGGTGCTCGTCTTATATGCGGGAGTAGTCTTATACACCGGGAGTCGTCTTATAGAGCGGGTGCTGAAACTTCCAATCCAGATTGGAGAATCTGTGGTTGCTGCATATTGTGGGGGGAGCTCAAAAATGGCAGTGGCCACATCCCTGCTGTATGCAGCGACTGTATGAAAGCATTAAGGGCGACGCTGTACAAGTACGGTAGAAGAAAATCCATTCATCAGGATTCGTGGACTTAATGCTGTCCCAATGGTGAAGTGAAGGGGTGCCTCACCGGGAAGGTGTAAGTGAAAGGCGGGGTATGGAAAAAAAGAGATAGAGTGGCTCTGTGCCCAGAAAAACACCTTTTTTACCTGTCTGGCCCGCCCTTGTATCCTGTTACCGTACCTCCTCCTCTGCCTCTCAGATCTCGCTCCTGAAGACTGCAGTGAAGTGGTGCAGGTGTGCATGTGCGAGATCTGAGAGGCAGAGGAGGTACAGTAATAGGAAAATTACCATATTGAAATCAAATCTGATGCTTTTAAAAAATTTATTTGGTGTGTGTTGGAAGAGGGGTAGTCTTATACGGCGAGTATATCCCAAGCTGGGGGGGGGGGGCTGTGTTTGACGGGGGGGTGAGTCTGAGTGAAAGAGGGTGTACCCTAGCAAACCTTTTGTATCGTTACCCCAATACCCCCATGCATATGGGATATATTGAGCATGGTGATCAGATCATGATATGAATAAACATAACGGTTTAAATAATGTACCAGTAAGGCCTTCTCGCGGACCACCATGAGAATTTCGGGGGGGAGGGGGGAGGCTGGGGGGGGGGGGGTTTCTTATTTTGCCTTATTGTATCTTTTCTTTTGGTTTTTTTTTGGGAGATCTGATGCTTTTTAAATTTTTATTTGGTGTGCGTTGGAAGAGGGGTAGTCTTATACGGCGAATATATCCCAAACTCTATATTTTAACTGGAAAAGTTGGGAGTCGTCTTATATGCCCAGTCGTCTTATATGCCGGAATATACGGTATTTCCCAGTGAGGCTTTTGGTTTTGCTTTGTCCAACTTCATTTTGTTCTCCCAGACCATGCTTGCCTGTGATCCCAGTTGTCATTTGACTTCCCACCTTGGCATTCCAGTCTCCTGTAATAAAAATAATGTCTCTTTTTGGTGTATTATCCAGTAGGTCCTGCAGATCCTCATAGAACTGATCTACTTCTGCTTCTTCAGCAGCTGTGGTTGGGGCGTATATTTGGATCACTGTGATGTTGAAAGGCTTTCCTTGCACTCGAATTGAGATCATTCTGTCATTTTTTTGGGTTGTATCCAAGCACTGCTTTAGCAAATTTCTTATTAATTATGAAGGCTACTCCATTTCTTCGATGTTCCTCTTGTCCACAGTAGTAGATCTGGTGGTCATCTGATGTGTCATAGAATCATAGAGTTGGAAGAGACCTCATGGGCCATCCAGTCCAACCCCTGCCAAGAAGCAGGAAAATTGCAGTCAAATCACCCCTGACAGATGGCCATCCAGCCTCTGTTTAAAAGCTTCCAAAGAAGGAGCCTCCACCACACTCCGGGGCAGAGAGTTCCACTGCTGAACGGCTCTCACAGTCAGTAAGTTCTTCCTCATGTTCAGATGGAATCTCCTTTCTTGTAGTTTGAAGCCATTTCTCCATTGCTTACTCCCAGAATGTCTATCTTTAGTCTTGACATCTCATCAATAATGACATCCCGTTTGCCCTGGCTTAGATCTTACATTCCACGTTCCTGGGTTGCAGCTAAACATAAAAAAACATAAAAAAACCAAGATTATGGCAACAAGAATGATTAATAACTGGCAAATAGAGGAAGAAAACTGGAACTACAGTAGTTAAGATGACTGTCACCATTTGGATTACTGCAGATGCAGACTGCAGCCAGGAAATCAGAAGACGTTTACTTCTTGGGAGGAGAGCAATTGACCAATTTCGATAAAATAGTGAAGAGTAAGAGACATCACACTAGTTTTTAGCTGAAGTACAAAGCAATAGTATTCCCCGTAGTCACCTATGGATGTGAGAGCTGGACCATAAGGAAGGCTGAGGGAAGGAAGATAGACACTTTTGAACTGTGGTGTTGGAGGAAAATTCTGAGAGTGCCTTGGAATGCATGGATCCAACCAGTCCATACTTCAGGAAACAAAGCCTGAGTGCTCATTGGAGGGAAGAATAGTAGAGGCCAAGATGAAGTACTTTGGCCACATCATGAGAAGAAAGGAAAGCTTAGAGAAGACAATTATGCTGGGGAAAATGGAAGAAAAAAGGAAGAGGGGCCGACCAAGGGCAAGATGGATGGATGGTATCCTTGAAGTGACTGGATTGACCCTGAAGGAGCTGGGGGTGGTGACGGCCGACAGGGAGCTCTGGCTTGGGCTGGTTCATGAGCTTAGAGAAGACAATGATGCTGGGGAAAATAGAAGGAAAAAGGAAGAGGGGCCGACACAGGGCAAGATGGATGGATGGGATCCTTGAAGTGACCAGCTTGACCTTGAAGGCGCTGGGGGTGGTGACGGCCGACAGGGAGCTCTGGCTTGGGCTGGTGGAGAGCTTAGAGAAGACAATGATGTTGGGGAAAATAGAAGGAAAAAGGAAGAGGGGCCGACGCAAGGGCAAGATGGATGGATGGTATCTTTGAAGTGACTGGATTGACCTTGAAGGAGCTGGGGGGTGGTGACAGCCGACAGGGAGCTCTGGCTTGGGCTGGTTCATGAGGTCACAAAGTTGGAAGCGACTGAAAGAATAAACCACACACACACACACACACACCTTATATACGCCTTATTAGACATAATTCAGTATACGTATCGTGTGTAATAGGCATGTGCATGGATTCGCATTGGTTGGTTCCCTTCGGCCACTCCAGCTTGTTCGGGGGGTCATAACGGTAAGGGCTCAACTGCCATGTTTTTTTCTGCTCAAAATGTCCCATTTGGGAGCACGTGGCGAATTCTTCCTGAAGCCCGTTGCTTAAACCCAGGCTCCTTTGAAAGGAAGATAGGAAAGGGTCCCAGGAAGGATGCTTCCTTAACCCCATTACTCAAACCCAGACTCCTAGAAAGGAAGAAAGAAAAGGAGCCCAGGAAGGATGTTTCCTTAACCCTGTTCCTCAAACCCAGGCTCCCTTGAAAGGAAAAGATCTCAGGAACAGGAAGGCAAGCTTCCTCATTGCCACCAATGGGCCAGATCTTCCCAGATCTTTTGGCTGCCTAGCCAAAAACAGATTTTTTCCATTAGCCAATTTTCGGGAGGCTTCCCAAAAACAGATCTGGGTACCCAACAAAATTTGGATACCAAAAACAGATGACCCTCCAGCCGAATTGCACAAGCTTAGTCTGTAAAATGCCTCCTAGAACATAGACAGAACTAAACACTAAACATTTCTTGGGGCTCCATGAAAATCTTTTGCTTCAAATAGGGCTTTGTGGCTGAAATGGTGTGGGAACCCCTGACAGAGAATACAAAAGTTCTACCAAACTTTTTGAAATCATCATGTTTTCTATGTCAAACAGCCTCCTTCCTCCTATTGCTGTCCACATATGTTTTCCCTGCTTTCAAGGTGGAATTACTTTTTTTATAAAAAAGATCGCTGCAGCTTTGCAAACTCAATGTTTTGATGACAAAATACAATTTTCTGAATTGTGAGGCAAGACTAAGCAAGACATATAACACTTTAGTAACTGGTTAAAAAATTATTTCAACACATACTGAAATATCTCAGTAGGCAAATATTATCAAACCTTTAAGCATTATGGTGCATTTGGCTGGCTGAACCATGTATGTAACATAGTAATTCAATATAGTCATTTTCTAACTTTTGAACGCCTGAATGCAGTACTATTTCGCAAATTGGGGAAACCTTTCCAGGTTGTTGCTTTCAGCCATTTTTTAAATATCAACAAAGAATGCCTTTGTTCACAAGTTGGAAGGCACAGCAACAAATGAGGAGCCTGGG